TGCAGGCACACGGAGCAGGCAGGCCCAGGGCCAGCGCTCATCTGGGTGCTGGTTCACGCGGTGGGCTTCTTCACCACAGGCCGAGCTCCTGCCCTCTCCCGGGAACCCTGCCCTCTCTCTGCGCCACCCTGGCTGCCCCACTGTGGAGCCCGTGGGACCCCACCCACACTCCGTCATTTGGAGCGCCGTCCTCTCCACTGGGCTTCCTGTCCAGTTGCCTGGGGCCCCGGATTGGGCGGCCTGGGTGTCCTCTGCTGTCCGTGCAGACAGGTGGCCTGATCACTTTGCCCCAGCCTGTGGCCTGTTCAGACCTGCCACGATTGGCCCCGCAGCTTCCAAAGGGATGTGGAGGAGACTCGACTTCCCCTCTCCAGTAGCCGGGGGTTCCCTGGCTGCCCAGGACGGGGTTGGAGTCCTGATCGCTTGCCCCTGCCCCAGCCACAGTTGGGCTGGCATTTCCTGCCACCTCCTCTGACACCCTCGCCTGCCAGACAGAGGCCGGAAGAGAGTTGGTGGGGGTTCCCCCGGCTTCCTGCTCTGGGGTCCAGGCAGCAGAAGCATCCTGGCGCTAGAGAGCGTTCTGCAGCGAACTGCGCAGCTTGGGAACTTGGGTCAACAGGGGCATCCCTTCCCACTTCCAGCAGACTCTCGGGGGTGCGAGTGTCCCTAGGGTCTTGGTGGGAGCTCACCCCCTCAGGGAGCAGCCTGTGCCATCGCTGGGCTGCGGCCAGGACGAGAACGTTCCTTATTTCAGTGTTACCAAGCGTGCCGCTTAGCCCCTGACACTCGGGATCTGCCGTCTGGGGCCCAGGGAGCCGCTCCGTGCCTGCCTGCCGCTGGGTGTTCCGGGCATCCGTCTCCGCTGCATGGCTTTTGTTCCTGGCCTCGTGGTATCTGTATTTCAGAGTCACTTCTGTGCCAAGGGAGCCGTCCCTCCGCTACCTCTTCCGTGCAGTCTTCCTGGATAGAAATCTAGTAGCCGTGTGAGGCGCCTTGGCGCATGTGGGGACCACTGGCATTCCTCTCTTCTGTTTAGCCCTGGAGGTCCCCATGGGCTTTGTGAACTCCTCCTCCCCTGGGGTTCTGAGTCACACTGATTGCCTGCGGTCCCTAAGGGGGCACGGTGGCTGTAAGGCGTGTGAGGCTGTGGGATTGTGGGGCCCTGTGTGGCTCAGGTTCTGAGGTTCCCAGATCCCGTGATTCAGTTTTGGCCACTCAGGCCCCCTCTGCCACTCCCTTGCTCAGGGAGGGCTGTGCATCTGCTGGCTTGTGGGTTGGGTCTGGGTGTCTGAGGCTGTCCCTGCGGCATGAGGGAGGGTGAATCTAGAGGGTTAGGGAAGCCAGTGGAGACCAGATGGTGACAAGTGCCCCTGCAAGACCAAAGTAGAATTTTTTTTTTTTTTTCTGACAGAGTTTTACTCTTGTCGCCTAGGCTGGAGTACAATAGTGACATCTTGGCTCACTGCAACCTCCACCTCCCAGGTTCAAGCGATTCTCCTGCCTCAGCCTCCTGAGTAGCTGAGATGACAGGCATGCACCACCACACCCGGCTAATTTTTGTGTTTTTAGTATAGATGGGGGTTTTGCCATGTTGGCCAGGCTGGCCTCGAATTCCTGACCTCAGGTGATCCGCCCACCTTGGCCTCTCAAAGTGTTGGTATTACAGGCATGAGTCACCGCGCCCAGCCCCAAAGGAGGATGTTTTAAGAATAACACCTTATGGGAGCCACCGTGTACCGGGGTGGGGACAAATAAATGGCATGGAAAAGACAGAGCCTGCACGCATGTGGCCAGGGCCTTTTGCTGTGAGCAGAGGATGTCCCGGCATTTTTTTGCCTTTTCTTTTTTAATATTCTCTTCCTGGCCAAAAAGCATCTCTCTCTAGAGGATTGCAGAAAACACACCCAGCCTATTGTCACCCAGACTCTGGGAAGGTGTCTGCCGTGGATGGAGTCTGTGTAAACAGGAAGGGTTGGGAGCAGGGCCTGGAGCAGCTAGATTAAGGAATTCAGCTCCTGAGGTGGTCTGGCAGGCTGTCCCAGAAACCCTCCAGTCCCCTCCTCCAATTCAGAGTCCCCCTGACTCCTCAGTCTTCCCAGATTACACCTGCAGTAGGGGGTGGGGTGGAGAAGCTGAAAGAATCCAGGAGTGACTTCTCCCATGGCTTCACCATTCCCGTCTTCTTCCCAGAGGCCATGAAGAAAGGTGGGCGGCCTCCCCAGGGGTGCCTGGAGCCTCACGTTGGGCCACGCCAAGGCCCAGCTTCTGAACACGGTGCTGAGGTTTGGGCTCCCTGCGTGGCCTGGCCTCCTCCCAGGTGCCCCCAGGGCTGCCTGGTGGACGTGCCTGCAAAGCCGATTTGTGCACATCTGCTCTTTCTTGTCCCTTCTGCCTTCAAGTTGGCATGGTCCTTCCCTGGATTGGCTTGGATAACGAGGGCCCAGCCCAGGTCCAGGCTCAGCCTGTGTGGGCTTGGCACCGAGCAGAACTCACTGCTGAGTAGGTGTGCCTGTCTGCATTTCACAGATGAGGAAACTGAGGCTTGGAAAGGGAAGAAGCCGGCTCAGGTTTCCTCCTCCAGGGGTCAGCTGAAGGTGGGCGAGGTGGGGCTGTGATGGGGCAGCCCCCTGGCATTCTCAGGGTCCCCACAGTGGCCTGGTGGGCATGGCAGTGGTTGCCTGGCCTAGGGGCAGCTGCAGGTTTCTAAGAGTGTGCCTTTGGGACAGTTCTCATCTCACACCTTCTCCATTCCTCAGTTTCCCTGTCTGGCACAGGCTGGCAGTGGTAGCTTCTCTGAGAGTTGTGGGGATCGGTAACATCGGGATATACAGGTATTTCACAGACTCCCGTGAGCAGCCCAAGTTTGTATGTCTGTCTTAGACGCACTCTTTTGCCTGCCTTCTCTGGTCAGCCCCTAGCTATTCCCTCCCTGGCCTTCTGCACTGGGGATTCTGCCTGGACGTGGAGACCTGTGGGCCGCATGTGTTTGACATTGACGTGTGGTTCCTGCTTGTCCTCCTCCCGGGAGTTTAATGACTAATAGGGCTGGTTTGTAGTACCTATCTTTGCCAATAGGTGCCACCAACATCTGGTTCTGGAATTCCTTAAGTCTACATTTTTCAGTTCAATGAAGAGGCTTATTTCCAATGTTATGAATGATGATGGTTTCCAGTGGGTCAGACAAGGGTCGTTTGCTGGTGGGGCCTGTATCCCTAGTGCAGTGGGGCTCTAGTGGCAGCCAGGCCCACCTGCCATGCTGTGGACCTGCCCCTGGGGCAGTGCTGGCTGAAGCTGGCACCCAGGCCTCCTCCCTGTACCTTCCTCCCTGGGAGGGGAAGCAGGAGGGGGTGTGTGGAACAGGCCTGAGGCTGCTGGAGCAGGGGTGGGCACAGGGTGGCAGAGCTTCCGTGTTCCTGCTGCCTTCTCAGGACAGCTGCCTGGGGCAGCAGAGCTGTGTGAGATGGGAAGAGTGCCGGCTTTGGACAGGGTCAGGTCTGGCCCCAGTCCCGCCGCTGCTGGGCGGTGCCGGCATCTAGAACTCATGCTGTGTCTCCCTGAGATGCGGGGTGCATGGGCAGATGCTGGTGAGAGGCCTGGCCCAGGGCTTCTTCCTCTCCAGCCTGGTACCCAGTCAGTGAGCCAGTGCCCTGGACGTGGCCGCTGTGAGGCTTGGGAGGTGAAGTCTTCCCTGGGCTGTGGAGGGGTGCAGCCAGGGGTGTCCTCCTACCTGGGGCGTGTGGGCTTAGTCACAGCCACTCCGTTCACAGTCCTGCTCGATTCCCCAGAGTGCCTGTGATTGCCAGGGTGAGGCATGGAGGGCCTGAGAGACCATTCTGCAGATGGGAAGGCTGAGGCCCAGAGAGGGAGAGGTACTTGTCCTGTGTGCCCAGCCTGTTGGAGGCAGGGTGGGGCAGGCAGGTGGTGCCTACGGCTCCCGGCACATGCTGCTGTCTCTGCTGCCTTGGGTGGGCTCTGACATTTTCCAGTGATCACTCAGGCCCACGGGCAGTGGATTCGCCACCTGGGAGCCTCCCTCCCGCTGTGCCAGCCTTCAGGGTGCAGGCACCTCCTGAAGCGTGTTCTGGGCTTTGAAATCCCTGAGATGAAAGGCGGGAGTGTGGGAGGTCCCAGCTTCTCCTGAGGTATCTGTGGGCTGCCCTCTCACTCCTGGCACACACCCAGGCCTGGCACAAAGCCACCCAGCAGTGCCCAGCCTACTGCCCACATGGGAAGTACCCCATCCCACCCCTCTGCTCCCCTCAGATAGACCTCAGACCATGGAGCCAGGGGCCCGAGCGTGTGGTGCCTGGGTTACTGCTGCTGTGGCACCTGAGCAGGCCAGGTCGTGTGGCCTGAGTGTGGCCTGCTGCTGAGGGCCACAGACATGGGAGTGGGTCAGCAGGCAGTGCGAGTCCTGGCTTGGCCACAGGCAGCTATGGGACTCAGGGCCTGGCTTCCTGCGTCTGTGAAATGGGAGGATCCCGGTGCTCACTGCGGACGTCCCAATTCCACGAACTCACCCACGCCCAGAACCGGCCAGGTCCTGGCACACGGGAGGTGCTCGGAGACCCCAGCCTTTGTGCCTTTCACCGTCATTCCCAGACTTTCACCTCGAGCCCCTGTGGAGTGGGCAGAGGGGCTGTCTCGTCCCGGCCACCAGCCACTCCTCCCTCTGCCTTCCTGGGGGCTGAGCCTGGAGCGATGAGGGTTGGTGTGGCCCAGGCAGGCATCTTGGGGCACACAGTGGGCTCTTCCTGCATCTGCTGCAGGCCCAGCCTAAAGCTGGGGTCTGTCACAGGGCAGTGCCTTGGAGGGGCGCTGCGGGACACCTGGCCCCTCGTGAGTGTGCATTTGCATCGGTGAGCTGTCAAGACCGATGGGGCCACCTCGGGGGTGCCGTGGTCCTCCCGTGGGTATGCCCGTGGCTGGGGGCAGCAGGCACGTGGTGGGTCCCGGCGTGGCCTGCGCTGACCGCCCTCCTGTGGCTTCTTGTCTTGCAGATTTCTCCACCCAGGTGAACTCGTCCCTCACCTCCCCGACAGGCCGAGGCTCCATGGCCGCCCCCTCGCTGCACCCGTCCCTGGGGCCTGGCATTGGCTCCCCAGGGCAGCTGCACTCCCCCATCAGCACCCTGAGCTCCCCCATCAATGGCATGGGCCCACCCTTCTCCGTCATCAGTTCCCCCATGGGCCCGCACTCCATGTCGGTGCCCGCCACACCCACCCTGGGCTTCAGCACTGGCAGCCCCCAGGTGAGTGTGGGGCTGGGGCAGGGGCAGGGGTGGGGTGGGCCTGGGGTGGGGCCTGGGGCAGGGCTGTGGCTTCCTCCTCAGGATGTCGCCTCATCTTGAGGCCTCTCGGAGGTGGGTGCTGAGGTCTCCTCGCTTGATTCGGGAAACAGCCTTGGGGAGCTGCGGGCTGCAGGGGTCTGAGCCTGGGCGTAGCTGACTGCCGAGCTGTGCCTTTGGATCATCAGCGGAGGTGCCTTGTACCGGGTCCTCTGCCAGCGTGGCCCCTCCCATGCCGGAGGGCTGGGGGACTCCCTGTTTCCGTGCCTCGGGGGCTCAGCAGGGAGAGGCCTTGGCCTGCTTTCCCGGACGCCTGTGGCCGCAGAGCCTGGGTCCTCCCCTGAAGTCTGCTCACACTCAAGCCAAAGGGCCCCCAGGGAAGGCGTGTTCAGGTGCAGGGCAGCTGTGTCCCCCGCCAAGGACACCGGGCCTTGGACCTGCAGTGGCTGGTGTGGCAACGGTGCCCTGTGGGGCTTGGATCCCCGTGGCTCTGTGGGTGCCTGGCCATCTGCGGGGCTTGGGGACCTTTTCCACAGTTGGGGTTTGCTCAGTTGCTTCTCCAGCTCAGCCTGGCCCTTTGGGCTGTTTCTGGATCAGGAAAGGCTGGTGCTGGCAGAGCCTGGCACAGTCTAGGTCTTGTCTTGTGGAACTTGGGGACCCCTCCTCCCTCGGGGAAGATACCCCAAGTGTCTCTCGTGGAGTCGTCCCTAGCCCCGGGATCTCCTATCTGTGAGGATGGAGGGCGAGGCTGGGCCTCCTGCCCTGGCCCCCAGTGGTTGCTTGTGTATTTCCACCAGGCCCTCCCTCTCCAGGGGCTCCATCTGCCCTGCCCCAAATGGACAGGGGTGCTCCTTCCACTCTGGATTTCTATGTTTGGGTTTAGCCCTTTGTCTAGCAGCTGAAGGTTCCATGGCAGAGTTTCGGTGCCATCTCAGGACAGCCCACCAGTGTGGGACTCGCCCTAGCAGCTTCTCTGCCCACAGTCACACAGCTGACAGCGCCAGATATGTCCTGTGGACTCCCAAACCCCCTGCTGCCCTGCCTCAGTTTACCTAGGTCAGGCACTAGGCCCAAGGGCTTGCACATGAGGGCACCAGGAGGCAGCAGGTGGACACCTAGGTCCAAGCACCCATGCCACCTCCTGGACAGCCGAGGACTGTGCCTGGTCCAGGCCTGCTGTGGTTGGGGTCTGGAGCCGGCCCACTGCCCATCCACCTGGCCCGTTTAGAGCTGGCCGTGGCCTCCCGAGCCCCTTTCCCCTGGAGAATCTTGCTGGCTTTCTGGGCCAACGCTATCAAAGCCCCCTCTGCTGTGTGGGACGTATGTAGGAGAGCTGGGGCCCCTGCTTCGTGTCCCCCTCACCTCACCTGACCTTCCAAAAGCAGCCAGGAGGCCCAAGGTGCTGGCACAAGGGAGGCCTGGTTATGTCATTTTTAGCACACCAGCCCTGCCCCTGTGGCGAGAGGGCGATGAAGACTCGGCTTCCACCTGTCCCTTGGCTCGCTGGCCGGCACCTACGGGGTCCTCCCAGGCCTGTTGCCTGCCCCAGACACCCAGGAGTCTAGTGCACAGTTGGTGTCCCCAGAAACGCAGGGTGCCTGGTGTCCTCAGCACTGTTTGGCCCTTCTGGGGGAAGGGATGGGCTGCTCTCTGTTTTCTCCTCTGTAGCCAGGCCTCTGGCACGCAGCAGGGGCTTGTTGAAGCTGAGCTGCTCGGAAGCACTTGCTGCAGACCCCTTGACACTGGCGAGGGCCCCAGTAGGGGGGCGGGTGAGGAGCTGACATGGGCTGCCCCAGACGCCCCTGCCTGGCCGCTGCTGGCGTCCGTCTGCTGGTCTCACCTGAAGTCGGTTTCCCTCGGTCTGAGGCCCATGCTTGACTTGGCACTGGCTCCCCAGAACCCATAGCTCCTTCCTTGGGGGTTGAGTCCAGCTTCAGGACCTCGGCAGTTTGTCTTGGAAACCTGGGGTTCCTTGTACTTATGGGCGTGAGTAGGGTTTCGGGGGGATGTGCCCCCACTCCCGGCCCCAGAACCACAACCACAGAGTCAGAGTTGCCGGAGCCACAGAGGTGCTCTGACTTCTGCCGCTGTTGAGGAGGGCCAGGCACTCTGCCAGGCGCGGCCTTCTGCCTGCTCTAGTCCATGGCCAGGAAGGGCCTTTCACGTGGCCGGGTCCAGGCCACTTGACCCCTCCTGGCACGGGAATTAGCGTCTGGGGGTGCTCGGGTAGAGCCGGGCCAGACTGCAGCTGCCTGGCCCCTGAGCCGTCCCAAGTCCCCTCCGTGCTTTGGGGGGGACATTTCCCACAGTGGCCCAGAGCCTGCCTGGCTGCAGCTGGCTCACTTGCACATGTCACAGGTACTGGGGGAGTGAGTTGGTGCCAGTTTCTACATAGAGCACTTCCGAGCACCCAGTGTGGAGCTGGACTTGGTGTCAAGGCCTCTGAGCTCCAGCAAAGCCTCCTGGCGGGAGGGCCTGCACGGGGCCTGTGGGGCTGTGATGTGTGCACAGAGGTTGAGTGGGCTTCATGGTGTTGGAAGCAGGGTGGCACTGGCGCTGGGCACCTTCCCGCCAGGGACTGAGGTCAGAGGGGAGCATGGAGAGGAGCTGGTTTGCTCCTGCCTTGATGGACGAATGAGCCCCAGCAGGGCCGAGGGGTCTGCTCCTGTCACAGAGTGGGCCTTCCCAGGTCGGGGTTGGGGAGGGACTCTGCAGGGGCTCAGGAAGGAAGGGTGTGGTGGGTGTGGGGAGAGAGCCGAGACACGGGCAGGAGACCTGGGTGGGGCATCGAGGCAGCGGGAACTGAAATGAGAGCCAAGGATCTGAAAGGGGAAATGGGGCAGCCTGCACCCTGGCCACGTACGGGGTCCTGATGCTCCGGCAAAGCACCGATGGCCGCTTGGCTTTCTCGGAGCTGGAGCAGAGAGTGCGGGAGGATACCCTGGATAGCTGTGGGGCTGTTGAGCCCACTGTGGGAGGGACAGAGCAAGGTAGGCCCTGGGGCGGCCCTGTGCTGTGCTCCCAGGGCTGTGAGCCAGCCTGAGGCCCAGCAGCCGGGGCTGGAAGGGGCCTGGCGGAAGAAGGCGCGCCTGGCCTCCCTGTCCCGGCACAGCCTCACTTCTGCAGCCTGGACCATCCTCTGGGTGAGCCCAGAGAAGCAAAGTGGGTATCCCCAGGGCCTGCAGCGAAATGGGCACCCCAGCCCAGCCTCCGCTCCACTCCAGACGTACAGGGGCTCCCGGGTCCTGGGCTCACTGGGCTGGCCAGAGCCTGTGATCTGACTGAGGTCGGGGCAGCCTGGGAGCTGGCCTGGCCACAACACTGAGAGGGAGGGTGACCGTCTGCCATTCCATGCTGCCCGGAGCCCTTTCCCGGCCAGGGATGCTCTGGCGCTCCCTCAGTTTACCCAGGGCAGGTGCGAGGCCCAAGGGACTGCATGTGGGGCACGGGAGGCAGCAGGTGGACCCCTATGTACCCGGGGTGGCTTGGGGCAGCCTGGAAAGAGGCCATGCGTGAGTTCCTCTCCCTGGGCCTGCAGAGCCATGGCCTGTGCTCTCCCGCCTCTGGCCCGGGACCTCCTGCTCACACGCCTCGGCGCCTCTCCAGTGCGAGGGTGCAAAGCGAGGTGTCCGACACTTCCTGCTTGTGGGCATTTTTGCTGCCCCTGTTTGGACCTGACCCTCGCCCCTGGCTGTTCCAAATTCTTCCCTTTTTTCAAACAAGCCATTTGCTTCCCTAGTTCTGAACACTGGCCTGGGAGGCCCGCTGCCTGGGACACCTCTTTCTTCCTCCCAGGCCCTGGCCTGTCTCCTCCACTGCAGCCGCCGGCCACCCTGTAAGGCAGCAAGTTGTCTGCGAACTCTGCCCTGAGCAACTCAGTTACCCTCGCATCGGTTCTGAGAGGCCCTGGCCGGGCGCGGTGGCTCACGCCTGTAATCCCAGGACTTTAGGAGGCCGAGGCGGGAGGACTGCTTGAGCCCAGGAGTTGGAGACAAGCCTGGGCAACATAGTGAGATCCCATCACTACAGACAGGCGAACACAAATTAGCTGAGTGTGGTGGCATGAACCTGTAATCCCAGCTACTCAAGAGGCTGAAGCAGGAGGGTGCATTGGGTACAGAATTTCGAGGCTGCGGTGACGATAATTGTGCCACTACTCCAGCCTGGGCAGCAGATTGAGACCCTGTTTTAGGGAAAAAAAGAAAAAAAGGAGGCACTAACATCGTTCCAGTGTTGCAGATGAGGAAGCAGGTCACAGTGATGAAATAATTTTCCCAAAGTCACACGAGAACGGAGGAGGCAGAATCTGGAGCCAGGGGTCTGTGTCAGGGGGCCTCAGAGCCTTCAGCGAGGCAGTGACTAGACCAGTGAGCCTTGGAGGGCTGGGCGGGGCCTTGCCTCCTGGTGCGTCTCGGAGCCCAGCACGGGGCAGGGCCGGCTGGGCACTGAGTCTGGGCAAGCTCCGTCTCTCTTGGGGTTTCACTTGCCCCTTCTGCAGCGTGTGGGGACCATGTGTGACCTGGGCCAGCCCCTGACTTCCCTGAGCCACAGCCTCCGCATCTGGGGCCCCTGGGGTTTTCCATGCAGGGAGTTGCGAGTGTGTGTCCAAAGCTCGGGCACCGTGGCACTCAGCAAACGCTGGGGGCGTTCTTTTGCCCTTCAGTTCCCTCCCTTCTCTGAGAAGTGCACCTGGCGCCCGCGAACGTGAGCACTGGGCATTTGGCCAGTCACAGTGGCCACCTGGTTCTCCACGCACCTTCTGGCACCCCCACCGTGCTGCATTGTCACGGAGGGCCTCCTGGCCTCCTTCAGCCCACCTGAGGCCCACAAGGACCAAGCATCCTTGCAAAGCCTTGCAGCCCACCTGGTCAGACTGAAGAAGGACCTAGAAGCCAGAACAGGCTGGGGCTGGAAGAATCATTGCAGGCGCCGGGGACCCTGTGAAAGGCGGCTTTGGGGTGGGTTCTGCTTTGCTTGCATTGAGCTTCAAACTCTTCCTGTCCCGTGAGAAGGGGGGATGGGATTTGGAGGCCTGAGGAAGGAAGGAGGGGAGCTTCCTGCGCACAGGCAGCGGCAGCAGTTTGCAGAAGTGGAGGCTGGGGGCTGGGGGCCGCCTGGCCGAGCGCTCGCCGCCCTGCACAGCGGGCTGGCGAGCAGGATGCGTCGGGAAGCGCCTGTGGGTCCCCTGCACTGACTGCAGAGCTGGGTGGAGGCAGCGGAAGCAAAACTGCTGTGTCACTGCACGCGGCAGCTGTTGCCAGGGTGACCGGGTGAGTTTCCCACGCTTGCCCGGGCAGCAGCGTGCGGGCCGATGGGTGGGGCGGAGGGATGTGCGGAGAGGCCAGCGGTGTCGCGCCACCCGATGCCCGGGGGTGTGGCGTGATTCCCTCTCGTGTCATGTGACCAGAGCCCCCTCCCTGTGGTGTTGTAGGGTACATGTGTGGTTCTGGGGGTTCCCCAACCCTCCTCCATCCTGGGGACGGGGCCTCAGCGTCCTCATCTGTGGGTTGGGACCCCCCAGAGCGCCTGCCTCGTGGAGCATCTCGGAGCACCCAGCAGGGCTGAGCACTGCCAGGAGCTCAATCATGAGACGCGGCTCTCATTTAGGAGGGCAGCGGGCAGGGGGTGCTAGTAGGCAGCGCCTGTGTGTTGTGGAGGTGCCGAGGGGTCCTTTTCCACAGAGGCCTGGGGTCTGCTGTGGGCAAGTCCTGAGGTTGCCACAGCCTCTGCTGGCCTGGCCGAGCACGCACAGCAGCCCTGTTGCTCCTGGGCAGTGTGGCGGGTGGGGGCATAGCCCCCTCTAGCCTCGGTGCCTGTGTGAAGTGGGGGTGTGCTGCGCCGTCCTTGCTGCAGGGCTGTGGGGGACGTGGGAGGAACCTGGTGTGTACCCTGCTGACCGCTGTGGCTCCCCCCCAGCTCAGCTCACCCATGAACCCCGTCAGCAGCAGCGAGGACATCAAGCCTCCCCTGGGCCTCAATGGCGTCCTCAAGGTCCCCGCCCATCCCTCAGGAAACATGGCATCCTTCACCAAGCACATCTGCGCCATCTGCGGGGACCGCTCCTCAGGTACGGCTGCTTTGGGGGCTGGGGGCCCGTGGGACAGGGCTGTCAGGCCATTGCAGAGTCTGGAGGCCTCCCCAACTCGCCGTCCTGTGGGCCAGGCAGGAGCCCCAGGCCAGGGTACAGGGAGGCAGGTGCTTGGGCCATGCCCCAGTCACCCCACTGAGCTCCCTTCCAAGGTTCTCACATCTGTGGGACAGGTGGGTCGGGTGGGGCACAGGGCAGACCGAGGCTTCCAGAGAGGAGGCTGCTGCTGACGGCAAGGGCAGCATGGGGGCAGGCGGTGCTGCGCCTCCTCCCCTGGCTGGGTCTGGGCAAGGGGCTTATGCTGTGCCACTGACCCCCAGCAGCCTGAGAGGGAAGCAGGATACCCTCTTCCTGGCCACACAGTGCAGACACAGAGCAGCAGACTTGCCGGGGGCCTTGTCCCTGGGGGGCTGGGATTTGTCCCTGCCCCACTCCCGAGTTGTCCTTGGAGGAGCAGAGAGGGCAAGGCTGGGGCCCAGTCTGAGCCCAAGTAGGGGTCTGGAGACCAGCAGGGCCCTTCCCGAGGCCTGGCCAGCCAGCCGGCAGTGGCGGGGTGGGTTCCCCGCGGCTTGGTGGCTGCTCCCCAGCCCCGCCCCCCCCCACCCCACGCAGGCAAGCACTACGGCGTGTATAGCTGTGAGGGCTGCAAGGGCTTCTTCAAGCGGACGGTGCGCAAGGACCTGACCTACACCTGCCGGGACAACAAGGACTGCCTGATTGACAAGCGGCAGCGGAACCGGTGCCAGTACTGCCGCTACCAGAAGTGCCTGGCCATGGGCATGAAGCGGGAAGGTAGGCTGCGGTGGGGCACAGGCGGGTGTTGGGCAAAGGGGGGCCCGGGCTCCCCGCCTGGACACCCAAGATGGACACCAGGGAGTGAGCATCCAGGCAGAAGCTCAGCAAGGCCGAGGGAGGAGTGTGGGCAGGGCCCTGGGTCCTGGTTTGCATGCACGTTTGGGGGTGTGCCTCAGTTCCTCCCATGAGGTCCTGTGTCCTGGGCCTCATGGGGTGGGAGGTCCTGTCTTGGGTGAAGGTCTCCTGGCCTGTTCCTGTCCTCCCGGCTCGGCAGGACATTCTCCCTCTGCGCTCTGCCGTGCTGCTCCCATGGCCCCACACGTGTGTGGCCGATGGTCTTCCTTCCTTCCCGCCAGCCCCCGGTGGGGTCCTCAGGCAGGGCCCAAGCCACTGTCTCACACCAGGGATGTCCCGAGCAGGGGCCGGGTGCTGCCGTTTCATTTCTTGTATGGCCGTCTCAGCCTTGGTGGTCCTCGTCGAGAAGCCACAGCTTCTGCTGAGCCCCGTGTCCCCGTAGGGCTTCCTTCCCGGGCCTCGGGTTGAGAGTGGCATCCGGGCTGGCGTTGGGTCCTTGTGTGCGCAGCAGAGCTGCCTTCTGTGGCTGGCATGACCATGCCCAGGGTTGCCAGTTGGGCCTTTCTGGTGGGGAGGATGTTTAATGGAGTGCTGGCATTTGCTCAGGCCCACTCTTAGCTGTGCAGGTTGGGAAACCAAGGCAGAGGGTTCCGGCCTTGCTCAGGGTCACATGCCATCCAGACCTTGTTGCTTTTGCCAGAGGGCAGAGGAGCGTGTGCTTATCCTGGAGAGGTGTGGGCCCAGCGCGGTTCTGGCAATGGAGGGCACGGCTGTGGGCTGCATGGATGAGGCATGGCAGTAGCTCTGGGAAAAGCTCTGGGGCCAGATTGGCCAACCCTAGGTGCCGGTGGCCCAAAGTGTGCGTACAAGCTGTGTGCTTTCCCCCAGATCCCTTCCCTCCTGCAGGATGGGTGCTGTCGGCTCGGGGGGTTGAGCCCTCCTAAGCATCAGGCCCCTGGCAGGCTGCCACACTGACTGGCCTTGAAGCCACGTGGCCCCTTGGCCTGGTTTGTGATCACACCCCTAGAAACTTAGGCTGGTGCTGAGGTGTCGGGTCCCATTGCAGTGCTGCGAGGGAGTCGCCTGGGGTGGGTCCCGGGGCTGGCTGAAAGCAGGATGGTCCAGGTATCTCTTGCAGTGACTCTGCCCCCGGCAAGGGCCCACTGTGGCTCTGGGGCAGGTGGGATCCCTACCCCTATGCTGAGGATGCCACAGGCTGATAGCATCTCGGGTTGGGCAGTGGGGCCTGCATTTGCAGGCAGCCGCCAGGAGGGACTTGTTCCGCTGCATTCCCTGACCAGGGGTGGGCAGAGGCTGGGGGACTAATGTGATGGGTGTTGGCCTGCTGCCAAGCTGAGCTGGGCCTGTTTGCTGAAGCCGGGGGTGGCAGGGCTTCAGGGCCTGCAGGCGCATGTGGTCTGATGGGGGAAGGCAGGCTTTACCCTTGGGGGTTGCCAGTCTGATGGGAGAGGCCCGGCTTCCACTCGGAGGGGGGAACACTGGCCCAGATTAGAGGGGATGGTGCCTGCCCCCCACTCTGCTTCCTCTTCCCCCAGGAAGGCTGCTCCCCATTTCCTTCCTGCCTGCCTTTGCTTCCTGTGCCCACCCTCCAGCTCGGAAGGACAGGGTGCGGAAACAGCAGTGTCTGGCATGTGCATGTGTGTGCACATGTGTGTGGAGTGCATGTGTGTGTGTGCACATGTGAGTGCACTGCAGGGACACAGCTGACCCACATGTCTCTGGTAGGGAGGGAGCCCCGGCTGTGTGCGTGTGTGTGAGTGCATGTGTGTGCACGTGTATGTGTGGTGGATGTGTGCGCATCTAGTGCATACATGTGCAAATGTGTGCAAATGAGTGCATGGTATGCACATGTGAGTGCATATGTGCACATGTGAGCGCGTGAGTGCATTCACATGTGTAAGTGCAAGTGTGCATGTGGTGCATGTTTGCACGAGATGCGTTTGTGCACATGTGAGTGCATGTGCATGGTGCATGAGTGCACGTGTGTGTGCATGTAAGTGCGTGTGCACAAATGCACGTGGTGCATGTGAGTTTGTGTGTGAGTGCATGTGTGCCAGTGTGAGTGCATGTGTGCACGTGTGTGAGTGCACTGCAGTGACATGGCTGACCCATGTCTCCGGTGGGGAGAGAGCCCTGGCTGGGTGTGCACATGTGAGTGCATTGCAGGGACATGGCTGACCCACGTGTGTGTGCACGTGTGCGAGTGTAGGGACATGGCTGACCCCACGTGTGTGCACATTTGGGTGAGTGCAGTGCAGCGACACAGCTGACCCATGTGTGTGTGCACATGTACAAGTGAACTGCAGGGACATGGCTGACTCCACATGTGTGCACGTGTGCGAGTGCAGTGCAGGGACACGGCTGACTCTACATGTGTGTACATGTGTGGGAGTGCACTGTAGGGACACGGCTGACTACATGTGTGTACATATGTGTGGGAGTGCACTGCAGGGACACGGCTGACTACATATGTGTACATATGTGTGGGAGTGCACTGTAGGGACATGACTGACTCTACATGTGTGTACATACTTGTGGGAGTGCATTGTAGGGACACGGCTGACTACATGTGTGTGTACATGTGTGGGGTGCACTGCAGTGACATGGCTGACCCACATATCTCTGTGGTGGGGAGGGAACCCCGGCTGGGTTCAGGTGTGGCCCTCTTGCCATCTGGCCTGACACTTGGCAAGTGACCTTGCCTCATTGGGTCCTCAGGTTCCTCATCTGTGACAGGCTGGGGGCATCAGGAAGACCCCTGTGAGCTTGGGGGCCGAGTATGGCAGATGAGAGCACTGTGGATGGGTGGTGATGGGGTTGGAGAGCAGCAGCCGTGTGTAATTGTGTGTGTGTGTGTGTGTGTGTGTGTGTGGTGTATGGGTGTGTGTGGTACGTGTGTGGTGTGTGTCTGTGGTGTGGCATATCTGTGTGTGTGGTGTGGAGTGTGTGTGTGTGGTGTGTCTTCGCGGTGTGGCATGTCTGTGTGTGTGTGTCTGCATAGTTTGTATGCACGTGTGTGTGCATGGTTCCCATGTTCCGATGCCTCGCTCTAGGCTGAAGCCTTGAGGGAAGGTACGCCACTCCCTTTACAGACTCTAGCTGGCTGCGTGGCCTCTGGCACCGCTCTCTGGGGCTCCGTCACCGCACCCTTAAGGGGAGGCTAGAGTGGTTCGGTGGTGTTCAGTCCTGCCTGTCTTGAGCCCAGCTCTGGGCCATGGGAAGGACAGAGGAAGGGCTCAGCAGTTGCCACTACCTGAGTCAGAGGAGCCTGCGGGCCTGGGGATGCCCTTGGAGCTGCCTGCCTTCCCCCAGACCCCTTCCCTCCTGCTTGGCCCATAGGGGCTGTGGCGGGTCACAGATGTCCCTTGCTTCTGAGGGGCTGCTGTACCCCGAGTCCTGGGCCAGCATGTCTCCTGATGCTGGGACCGACCGCAGTGAAGCCGGGGGCAGGGGTGCCTGGGCAGGGATCCAGCGTGGCAGTGCGGGGGTCTCGGGTCTTCCTGGGAGGACTAGGCTGTGGCGTATGAGCCCCCTCTGCCTCTGAACAGCGCTCACTCAGGCTGGAGGGCGAAGAGGCCCTGTGTTTACAGACGCCTCCCGCCCGGCCTGCGGCGCCAGAGGAACATGAGTCAAGCGTGACTTCGTCTAGAAGGTGATTGTGCTGGCAAAGCATCAATCCTGGCCCCTCCTGCCCCCAGCCTATAAATAAAGCGATCATATTTATAATGATGCTGGGCAGAGCTGCAGGGCCCTTCACAGCTTCAAAGTGCTTCACAAAACACTTGCTAATTAATTCTCGGCTGTCCTGGCAGAGGAGGCAGGTGCCAAGGAGCCCAGTTCCAGGAGCCCGGGGAGAACTGGCAGGAAGGCCCCTCGATCAGGGCCACCCTCGTCTGGGGCTCCCTGTGCCCTGGGGCTACCTCTGAGCAGGAGAAAATCCCTGGCACTGGGCCGGGCTGGCGCGTGGGGTGGGAGGCTCTGGTGACAGCTCTGGGCACCTCCAGGCCTCCTGTGTGCTGGCGCTTCCCCTTGGAGCTGTCCTGGGGGTGGGCGCAGTCATTCTCCTTTTACGGATGAGGAAGCCAAGGCACCGAGAGGTCGGGGACTTGCCAGGGGCCACACGGCTGTTTGGCTGTGGCAGGCTCTGGGCTCCAGGACGGCAGCTTCAGGCTGCCCACTGTCTCGAGGGCTCAGCCTCGCCCCTTTGGTGCTGAGAGCCTCAGTGTCCCCACTGGGGCGACAGCAGTGCCAGCTGTGTCTTGGCACTGAGACTTCAGAATTCTGTCATCGGTGCCCATCCTTAGGGTCTCAGGGACCTGGGCCAGTGGAGGTCCCTGTCCCTGTCCCTGTCAGCTCAGATGCTGGCTGAGACCCACCTGCGTGGGTGCCTCCTGCTGGGGGTTGGGGTCGACTCTATTGGCTCAGGATTCTGTACAGAGGGTCTTGTGAGTAGCGACCCCACCCCAGACAAGTGCCGCCCACTGGAGTGCTCACGAAGTTCCATGTGGGGGCTGCCAGACCCTCACCGTCTGCCCGCCAGCTGTGCCCCCCACCCTGCACCCACCCACTGTCAGGTTTCCAGTAGGACCAGGCCTGTGTGCTGACTGCGGGGGCCCCAGCTGGCTCCTCGTGCATCTTGAAGCTGGGGCTGGGCCTCCCGGCCCTGAGTCTCTCTGTGTGGGCAGAAGTCCCCCGCTCAGGCAGCGGGCCGTGCAGGAAACTGTTGGCACAGGGTGGCTGAGAGGCATCCACGTGGGGCTGTTACAGAGCTCTGGCTGGCGTGAAGGGAACCACGCAGGGCTGGGGACCCCGGGCCTGGGGGTGTGAAGTGGGGAGGGGCTCGCAGAGCCTGGAGGGTGCTGCTCAGCAGGAGCTGTGGCTTTAGGAGGAAGTGGCGGCTGACACCATGGCAGGTAGGGGCAGGGAGGGTGCCAGAGGCGCAGATACGCTCTCCCGCCCTTGTTCCTCCTGCTGTCCCTCGTGTTGGCCAAAACCATCTGGAAGCCAGAGGGTGGGAGGGTGGGACGGGGCATAGTCAGTCCATGGTGCTTAGTGCCTGGGAGAGCTCCAGGCTACCAGGTTTGTGTTCTGCCCACCACCAAGATGGCCTGGAGGGGCTGGGAGGGGCTGGGAGGGGCCCCACCCAAGGCTCAGAAAGGTGGCAGCTCTAGGAACCCTCCTGCCAGGCCATACCCTCGGGCCCTTAGAAAGGCCGTGTCCTAGGCCTCAGAATAGGAGGAGAAGGGGCCTGGATCAGGGACTGCCCAGCCCAGCACCCTGGCAGGAGGGCACGAGGGAGGGAGGAATTGGCCCCAGGTCCGTGTCTGGGCTGGGAGGAGATACGGCAAGAGGGGCATTTTCAGGGCGGGAGTGGAGGGTTGACTGGAGGAGGGCGTGAGCTGTGCCTGACAGAACCGGCCTTGCGGCCCGGGTCCCATTGCTCTTCTGTTTCTGCTGTTGACTCACTTGGACAAGTCACTTTATCTCCATGAGCCACAGTCTTCTCATTAGTACAGTGGGGTAATGCGGGTGCCCGCCAGTGAGGCTGTTGGGTGGCGGACGGAACAGAAGAGGGAGGAGGTGGTGGGTTTGGGACCGGAGCCCGGCTTAGGCCTTGCAGGGAAGCGGGCGTGTCTTTGGGGAACGACCCATGAGCCAAGTGGACGCTTCTGTCCGAGCTCCGTCTGGGTCCCGGCCTGCCCCCTGGCCCTTCTAGTAGGGGATGCCCAGATAGGCGGCAGAGGGGCTGAGGTGGCTTCCTCAGGGCCCAGAGTGGACAGTCCAGGAAGGCAAATCCAGGTAGCGGGAAGCGTGGGGCGGGAGGAGCCTCCTGCGCCTGGGCAGCAGGGTTCATGCCTCAGGCCTTTCACTGAGCTCACCCCCAGGGCTGATCAGAGTCGGCTGACTGGAGCCCACGCCTGAGCAGGGAGCTCGGCCAGGGATGCAGGTTCTGCTGCCTGCAAGCATCGCTGTGTTTTATCCTAACGCTCGGCCTCTGGTGCCCCACGAGTGGCTGCTCCTGGGGCAGATCGAAAGGCATCTCTGTGCCGCTGCTTGGGGCGTGGCTCGTGGAGCTGGGGGGGGCTGTCTCTGTGTGGCCAGGGTGGGGCCTGGTGGGTGCCTGCCCTCCATTTCTGGCAGGGCCCGGTGTTGGGACGCTTGTGGGGTCTACGGGTGCACAGTTTCCTCCGTGCCTCGGTGGCTTTGAGCCTGTCACCCCTGGATGTGCCCCTCAGCCCAGGCCCTCAGCCAGCATGGGTGCCCCTCGTGAGCATGTCCTGCTCTGCTTCTGGGCCTTTGCAGGGTCTGTGTCTCCTACCTGAGCCATTATTCCTCTGCACCTGCCTCCAGTCACCTTGTCACCTCTTCCAGGAAGGCTTCCTGGTTCTCCCTGAGTCCGTAGACCATCAGGGCCTTTGTCGCTGCATGTTGAGGTTCCTGCTGCACGGTCTCCTGCCGGGCCCCAGGCAGGCTCCTGTTGTGAAAATTCACTGGAGTTAATGAGAGCTGGTCTCTGTTCTCAGAGCACACAGCCACACGGACGCCAGGCCTGGGGCAGAGATGGGGTCTCTAGCACCCAGCCCTGATGGGGATGCTGGTGTTGTGGGTGCATTGGCTGGGAGCTGGCACCACCCGGCCCCGACAGCCTTCCCTGGGAGCCACTGGCCGGGCTGAGTGTGGGGCCGACCCCGCCTCCCGGGTTGTAGCCGTGCAGGAGGAGCGGCAGCGAGGCAAGGACCGGAACGAGAACGAGGTGGAGTCGACCAGCAGTGCCAACGAGGACATGCCCGTGGAGAGGATCCTGGAGGCCGAGCTGGCTGTGGAGCCCAAGACCGAGACCTACGTGGAGGCCAACGTGGGGCTGAACCCCAGCTCGGTGAGTTGCAGCCTGTGCAGGGGAGGGCAGCTTGCCTGCCTCAGTTTCCCTTACTCACCCACCTGAGCTGCTGCTGAGCCAGAGAGGTCCGTCCTGGGGGCTGCCCTGGGCTCTGTGGCCGCCTCAGCTTGGTCTCTTACCCGTGGTGACCCTGTGGGCCCCTCACCCCAGCTAGGCGCCACCGTCCTCTCCTGGCCCACGCAGGGGTGGCGCTCACGCAGGGGACAGGGGCCCTGTGGCTGTATCCTCCTCCTCCTCAGCCATCTCTGCTGGGGCCTCAGCTGCCGTGTCCCCTTGGGGTTTGACCTCCCTGGTGCCCCCTGGAAAAGGTGTGGGAGGAGGCTGAGCCTCCGGCGAGAGTTCTGCACGTTGGTTCCGGAGCTGTCTTTGCCAGCAGCTGTATGGCCCTGGGCAGGTACCCAGCAGTCGTGGTGGGTGCTGTGGAATCAAAACGGCTCTGCAGTCCCCCAGCTTGTGACCCCCATGCTATCCCTCCTGCCTGTTCCCACCCTGGACTGGCAGCCTCAAGGGGAGGAGGATGGGTGGGCCGCAGCCCGTGGGTGGGTCCCAGGCTTTTCTCCTGGGTTGGCTCAGCCGGCTGCGGAGTGTTGGATTCAGACCCCCTGGCCTCGCCCTTCCTGCCTTGGACCCTTCCTCGCCGCTGGCTCCCTCCCTGTGGCATCTTGACTTACTGCTGTCAGCAGCCTTGCTAGGGAGGGCGTCACAGGTGCGTTCTCAGCCCTTTTTACCCTAAGGCCCAGGGACATGCATGTTCTGGGAACCGTTGCTCCCTGGTGGGCTGGTCTGGCTGGCAGACCCCGCTTGTCCCGGGCTCCACGGAGGGGCTGGCTGCAGCTGTGCCCACGGTAGGGCGGGTGAGCTCCTGGCTGCCTGAGTCAAGGCTCAGGACTTTGCACGAAGCTTCCTGCTGTTTTCAGGGACTGTGGTATCCAGACTTCATCTGTGTCTCTGTGGGTTTGGGGCTGGGACCAGAGCCCCGTGGTCACCGATGACCTTGTCCAGGCTGACCATGAGGTGACCCTGACCTCTGTGGGCCCAGGCACAGCGGGCTGCCCTCCCTCAGTGCTGGGCGTGCTCTGCAGATCACTGTTGCTGACCCACCAGGGCCTTCCTGCTTGCTGCTCCCATGGCCTGGAGCCGGGCCCTCTGGCTCTTCCTCAGGCTTTGGTCTCAGCTAAGGTACCTCTGGCTTGTATCTGTGCCCCCACCAGGGTAGGGACAGCCCCTGTGGCGTGGGCTGAGAGTGCCTGCTCTTTCTTCTGTGGCCCCTAGCACGAGCCATCACAGGGTGACGTGTGAGCGCGGGGTAAGGTGTGCGGTGGGTTAATGTCTGCTGCCCCCACGAGACTGCCGGGGATGGCTGGGCTGTTCCTCGCCGCCAGCTTCGGTCAGCGATAGCCACTCTGCCCCTGCTCCTTGGCCCTCACATAGGGCCCACACCCCCACTGCCTCTGCCTGTCTGAGGGTGAGGGTCTGCTCTTGCCTGAAGCCCCGTGGCTGGCTTGGGGCCACCCTGCTCCCCTGCTCTTTCTGGATAGGACAGCCCGGTGCCTTACGCACGTCCTGGCTCTCCTCAGACCTCTACTCTGGCCGGGGGCTGAGGCTGCTGGGGAGAAGGCACACGGGACCCCGACAGTAGGCCCCTTCTTTCCAGAGAAACCCTCCCCGTGAGTGACTGGAGCAGGCCCACCCCAGCTGGGACACTGCACAGTCCTGTCTGGTCTGCACACCTGCCCTGCCCCGTGCCCACCTGTCCAGTCCTGCGGAGGGCAGGGGAGGCTGGGGGATGGAGGGGAGGAGTCGGGGAGGGAGGGAGGGAGGCCCTGAGGGTTTCATGAGCTGGCAGAAAATCCAGAAGCAAGGTCGGCGTGTGCACCAAGGGCCTCCAGGTTCCATTCTGTGGAGTAAGGACGTTATTTGGGAGAAAAGTCTGCCATCTGCTCTCTCTCTCTCATTGCGTAAAAGTTCAGGGAGTTCAGAACCGCAGAGACAGGCAGGACTTTCAGGGGTACAGGACGCGTCTCCGCAGGGATGGGGCTCTCCGTGCCCGCTCCTCTGTTTCATCTCACACTGAACACTCCTCTGTGGACTGGTCTGGGTCCAACTTCCAGACCGCTCACTGGGTGCCTTCCCTCAGATGGGCAGACTGAGGTCAGAGAGGAGGCAACCTGCCGAGTGTCACGGTCCTGGTGCCCGGTTTCTCCCCAGCATGGGGCAGGGCCAGGGCTTTGGCCTGGGCGGGTCCTATGGACACTTGCAGGCAGGAGTGGAGCCCGTCACACGCCTTCCATTACACGAGGCACTTTGGGTCTCCAGGCGAGAATGGGAGGCTCACAGAGGTTAAGCCTTTCCCGAGCCACACAGGGAGGTGGAGTTGGGCGGAGCCGGGAACCTGCATGGTCCCTCCCTTCCTGGGGGACCCCTCCAGGCCCGGCCCTGCTGTCATGGGAGCCAGAGCCTCATACCTGCTGGGCGTGTGCCTCCTTCGCTCCAGCCTGCTGGCTTTTCAGCCGCCACACCCTTCTCCCTGTCCTGGCTGTGCCTGCTGCAGGCACATGACAGATGATGACCCTGCATCCTCTCCTGCAGAGGCCCCATCAGTGGAGGAGGACTCGAGGCTCTTCTTCCCACCCATGGCAACTGCCTGTCACCTGGGCCTGCTCTGGGCCCCGTGTTGGCTTCCGAGAGTGGCCCGCCAGCAGCTGGGGGGTTCCCGGGTACGAGGCTCCCATGCAGAGCCATGTGCTGCAGACACAGTGCTCAGGGTGTTTTCCCCACGTCCCCCTCCCCCGCCAGGCTGCGTGACCCTTTCTCAGGGATGCCCTGCGGCAAATGGGCAGGCAAGAAGGACCTGCCCCGTTCAGCCCCCAGCGAGACGGAAGGGGAGGCTGAGGCTGCGAAGCTGGGCCTGGCTGTGGTGGGCCTGGGGGGTGCTGGGCATAGAGGCCGGAGCCTGTGGGTGCCGGGGCTGTGGACGTGCTGCTCATGGAAGGTTTGCGGAGGAGTGAGTGAGTCTGAGACCTGTGTAGACCGTGGCGGGCCCCTCTCAGCTGACGAATCCTGCCCCTCTGTTCGCCCCTTCAGGCTCGGGGCCCCAAGGGCTGTCCTGGCCTCTTCTGAGGGTCCTGGCCTCCATACCATTCATCCGGGGCCTTCCCACTCAGCCTTTAGAGGCTCTTTCCACCGGGCACTGCATTGAGGCAGCGCGGCTCTGACGAGCGTGCGGTTTCTGTCAGTGGGCGCTCTTCAAAGAGAGGCATTTTCTCCTTGGCAAATGCCCTGGAGTAAGAGGTCCCCAGATCCCATTCACAGTCATTATTCCTGCAGCTGCACAACCAAGGGGGCCGTCGTCTGAGTCCCCATTGCTCAGAACATAGAAGGTCCATGACCCAAGCCCCACTTGCCGGGAGCTGGGGAGGGGCCTCCCGTCCTGCCCTGCTTCACGGCCACCTGGGTCTCCTCATCTGTGAGACTGAATTGCCCTCTTCTGGCTAGGACTTGCCAAAGGAGCTGGGAAGGCCGCTCGCTCCCTGTGCCTGGGGCCTGGTGTCTCAGCCCAGGTGCCTGCCCTCCTGAGTGCCCACCTCCATGTCAGCCCCATCCCCGGGGCGGGACACTGTGGCCATCAGAGATGAAGGGGTCGGTCCCACCCAGCTCCGCCGCCGCCCCATATCTGGTTTCTCCAGCTCCCTGCACCTGCCTCCCAGAGCGGTGGGAGAGACGCGTGTCCTGCTGTCACCTAGCGGCTGGAAACGACACACGTTTTATTATCTGACCGTCCTGAGGTCAGAGAGCCATCTCAGTCTGGCTGGGCTGAAGTTGAGGTGTCTGTGGGCTGGCTCCTGGAGGCTGCGGTGTGGAGGCTGCGACGGGGAGGCTGTGACAGGAAGGCTGCCCCTGCGTTTGCCAGCTTCCGGTTCCCCCACATCCCTTGGCTCATGGCCTCTTCCTCCTCCTTCAAAGCCAGCAGCGTCTCCCTCAGGCCCCAGCGCTTGTGATCACGTCTCCTCCTCTGCCCCTGCTGCCTCCCTCTCCTGGGCCCCTTGCAATGACTCTTGGCAAGAGCAGCCGACAAGCAGCCCTTCACCCTGGCAGAGTGGGCCCACAGTGCAGGCTCCTGCTGCCGCCGCTACACATTAGGGCCCCAGTGCAGGCCCAGCTCCCAGTCTAAGGCCACACCTAATGCCTCTCAAAGCCCTGTTTGCCGTGCAAGGTCGCACGTTCCCAGGTTCCGGGGATTAGGGCATGGGCATCTTTGGGGGCCGTATTCAGTGCTCCCCATGGGCCCGGCATGTGGGTGGGGCCTGGGCTGGGCTGTGTTCCATCAGTACGTCGACTTCTGGGACCGAACGTGCTGCTCGTCTTCCTCCCCTGCAGCCGAACGACCCCGTCACCAACATCTGCCAGGCAGCCGACAAGCAGCTGTTCACCCTGGTGGAGTGGGCCAAGCGCATCCCGCATTTCTCAGAGCTGCCCCTGGACGACCAGGTCATCCTGCTGCGGGCAGGTGAGTGGCCGGCCCGGGCGGGGGTGGGGCAGGTGTGAGGACGGGATGCGTCTCGGAACATTCCCACCTCCTGGGACCAGCTGTGGACAATGTGGGACTGTGGGGGAAGGGCCTAGGGCCTCAGTTTCCCTCCTGCCCCCATACGGAGGGGTGCCATGCGGGTCTCTCTGTGTGGCCTTCAGAGAGGTGAAGGGCTGTCAGTGGAGGATGGGAAGCTCTGGAGAGGGAGGCTGGGTGTGTCTCAGGGGCTGCCCGGGAGGGCCATGTGCTCTCTGCCCTCTCCTCCCACTCCAAGGCCCTGTTTCCATGCGGGAATGGTGATGCACCCAGCCTCGGCACAGAAATGTCTGCCCCACGCTCAGCACATGCCCTGCGACGCCAGACAGGGGCTGGGAGCTCAGCTTTGGGGTTTGGGGGTCAGGTTGGCAGTGGGAGCCTGGGCGGGGTGGTGCCCTCTGAGCTGGTCCCCCACCTGGAAAGTGGGTGTGAGGGGCATCCCTCATGGGCTGGTGTTCACCAAGTCACGGAGTAGCTGAGACCAGGCCCTTACTGCAGGTTCCCGCTGGGGCCCAGGTCTGCCCTCAGTGTCCTCCCAGCAGCGACGATGGTGCTGGCTGCTGTCCCATGTGCCCCTAGGCCCAACAGGCCAAGCTCCCTTAGGGCCGGGTGTCGCAGCTGCCTGGAGTTCCACAGCTGCACTGCGGGCCCCGTCCTCAGCCTGACCAGGGAGCCTCGGCCCATACAAGGCGACTCCCAACACTAAATGGAGAATAGGACACACCAAGCAGAGATGGGGCTCCCTGTGAAGCAGGGAACGTTCTGGAAGCTGCTTGGGTCAGGGCTGGGACCACACGGGCTGTGTGTGGAGGGCCTGGCGCCGCTGCCTCCTCCTGTAAGGACTCTTACGGCCTTATTGGGGCCCCCCTGGATCAGCCCGGATAATCTCCCATCTCAAAGCCCTTGACTTAATCCTGCTGGCCTGGTGTCTGGTGGGTCGGGTCCTTGCCCCCCTGGGCCTTAGGCATGTGGGTGTCTGCTGTTGTGGGCTCAGACTTCTTTCAGGGTGTGGCCTCGTTTGCAGGGGCTCCCCCAGAGCCCTCGGTTCAGAGCCCCTGGCTTTGCCAGCTGCCCGCCTGCCTGACCCCAGTGGTCTTTGTAGAGATACCCCAGGCCTTTGCAGAGAGAGGACGGTGCCCCCATTCCCAACCCACCCGTTAGACCCAGAGAATGGCTGGCCACACGCAGCTCTTTTCCTGGGGGTCCCCCGGTGGTTGTGCGCTGGGGCCGGGTAGAGGTCCGAGTCGGGTCAGGCGGCTGTGTCCGTCACAGTATCTGTGTGGCACCTGGCCCTGCAGTCCCATGCAGGCGGCTTCTGGCTCCAACCTTGGCCTGACTGGGGTGATCATAGCGGATTGTAGTCGGGTGGGGGCTCCCCACGAAGCCCAGAGCCCTGGTGCTCTGAATCCCTGGTCCCTTCTAGGATGCCTGGGAAGCCACCCTGTGCCATCCCTTCAAGGGTGGCCTCTGCTCCTGCCCAGTGGCTTTTCCCGGGACATCTTTACTGCTGCTTGTCTCTGGGTGGGTCCTCCCAGCCTGGCCTCCCCCGGCTCCCACTGAGGTCCTTGCTGACCTGTCTCCAGCGTGCCCTGCTCCTGTGTGTCTGGAGCTGCACTTCCGACATGCGTCCTGCCCCGCTGCCTGTGAGTGCTGACCTTGACCAAGTCATTTACTGTCTGCGCCTCAGTGTCCTGTGTGTTCTGTCTGCTGGGGTTGGGAGCTCACCCACTAGGTGGTCTTCCCAAGTCCCGTAAGGTCCACTGAGGGACACATCCAGCCCAGATGTGGAGCATGGGAGTTTGAAGCCTGCACTGGCCCAGTGGCTGGAGAGGACCTCGGTCAGCCCCAAGGATACGCCGTGCCTAGCTGGTGTTGGCTGGAGGGCTCTGTCCCCTCCAGGGGACTGGGGTCAGGGTCCGTGGCTATAGCCTGGCTGGGGGCTGGGGCAGCCCTGCTGGGTTTTCCTCTGTGCAGGAGGCAGTGGCAGAGGTGAGCCCCACCCAGCCCTGGCAGGGGCAGGGGTGCACTGGCTGCTCCCCCATTATGTCCCTCCTGCTGGGCCCTCCCACTGCGTTCCCAGTGCTGGTGGGGAGGTGGCTTCCGCTGGGCAGTAGCAGCAGTGGGAACGGGTGCCCATGCCTGGGGTTCCCACCATCCTGAGAGCCATTGGCCATCCAGGTTCAAGGCCCAGGGTCTCTGCTCACCCTGGGAGTGTCCACCTGTGTCTCTTGGTGTCATTGAGCGGGGGCAGTGGCCACAGCCCTGCAGGGGCCCGGAAACTGGTGGAGGATTCCAGCTGGGCTGTGGGCAGCTGGCGTCACATGCGTTTGCTCCTGTGGGGTGGGCCCCTTCCCTTGGGGTGGGTTCCTGCCCCACCTGTCCAGGCGGCCTTCAGAAGTAAAGAATCCAAATGATAGCTTTGGCTTGTTCACGGAAGTTCCAAGTCATACCCTGGCCCTTGAGTTTGTCAGATGAGGAAACCAGGCAGGGCCAGGTCACCCACAGCTTTCAGGTTCCTCTGTCCAGCCCCTTCCTCCCACCTGCCCCCTCATCCCAGGCTCTTGGTTCTGAGACCCCATTGGTTCTAACGGGGTTTTCTGAGGGCCTGGGCTACACAGGCACCTCATGCTGCTGGGGGAAGGGAGGGACGGGAGGGGCGGGGCCAGGCCTTGCTGGGCCGGGAGGGAGGGAGGGGCCAGGCTAATGTAGCAGCCCGAGGTCCCCTGTGGGGACAGCACACCACTTTACTCCTCTGGTCTTGTTAATACTGCCCACATCTCCTGCCTGGGGACACAGGGGAAGCCAGGCTGGGTTATTCTGGTCACGGCCACCCTGGGAGGGGGTCCCCATCACGAGCCCCATGGGCACGGCAGCTGTGACCCTGAGGGGCTCTGCCCTGCCTCATGGGTGTGGACTCATTTAACTCTCCAGACGATCAGGCATAGTGGTTCTCACTGCCCCCTATGCCAAGGAAGTGGTGGCTCAGAGGTGAGACGGGAACCCGGTGAGCCAGCCCGAGGCCCCGGCTTCCACACCTGACCCTCAACTCTGTGCGCTTCCTACTGGAGGTGCTGTCTGGCTCTGGGAGCCGTGGGAGGCGGGGTCCAGAGAGTCTGTGCCCTTGAGTGGGGTTCCAGGCGTCCTGCACCCCAACAGAGGCGACTGTTCTGATTGGGAGGCCCTGGGCGTGTGGGCAGGGCTGCGAGGGGTCTGCAGGCGTTGGCTCCTCAGGCAGGGCCAGCCTCTTGAGGTGGAGGACATAGTGACCAAGCGAGCAGCCCCAGGCCAGACTCCTTGTTTGTCCTGAGCTCGGAGCCTGGAGTAAGACCTGGTGTCCCTCGCGTCACTGAGGTCCACCTGAAAGGCCAGCACACCCTGAGCTGTTGAGAGCTGTGGCCGATCCGGGCCCTCACATCGCCGGTTCCGAGCTGTCCTTCGGACCGCGATGGCGCGCTAGGGAAGGTGAACACGCACCCCAAAGGCTCCTGTAAAGTGAGTTCCTCTCGGTCTCCCCTTACATCTGAGACGGAGGAGGGCCGCTTACAGAGGTGTGTGGGGCAGGAGAGGAGAGATCCCGAGTGAGGACATCGGGTGGAGGGACGGTGATGGGGGAGCCGGAGGGTGCGGGGAGAGACTCCCGGGGTTCTGTCCGAGTGTCTGGGGCCCCAACCTATATCCCGTGCTGAGAGCCCCACCGTGGCTCAGGAGCACCTTCTGAGCCCAGCTGCGCACCAGGCCCCTCCTGGACAACAGGAGGCGAGTCCACCTCCTCCCCGCTGGGGCCTCACCGGGCTCTCGGGGCAGTGGGAGGGAGGCGGCCACTGTCAAGTAAACCCCCAGGGCTGGAGGATTCAAGGGAGAGAGGCAGGCTCAAGAGGGTGGGACTGGCCAGGGATGGTAGGTTTGGGGCCAGTTCTGCCCCAGCACAGCTCTCGTCTTCAGCCCCCTGGATCCCTGCCCTTGGCCGCAGGCTCTGTCCACACTGGGCCTGGTATGGGACCGGAGGGAGAACCCTTTTCCTCTCGGGGCCACAGATTCCTCACATGTCAGAGTTCTCCCAAATGTGGTGCTACATGTGTTTCATGGGGAAAAAAGGATTCTATGGTTAGGAAAACGTGTCTGTGCAGAGTGGAAGCTCCTTGGCTGCCGGCGTGGCTGAGCCCAGATACCACGGTGCGCTGCAGCCTTGGTGCAGAGGCTGGGTGTGTTTCCCAAGCCCCTGCGCCAGGGCACCCCACTCTTCCTACCCCCCAATGCAACAGGCTGCCTGCTGCCGCCTAGCAGGGAGAGGGGATGTGTGACAGGTGGGGAGGTGCCAGTCCTGTGTCTGTGACGGTATTTCCGTCAGACTGCCCGTGGTGCCATCTGCATCCCCCCATGGTGATGGGCAGAGAACCCACCATTCTGCCCTTGTTTTGCTGGCACAGCCTGGGGCTGGTTGGGCACCATTGCTGCCCAGTGTGTGTCAGCACACCTGGGCTAGGTGGTTTTGGGGGTGGGACCTCCCTCCTGGGGTCCTTGGATGACCCAGTTGTGAACTGGGGAGAATGGGGATGGTGACATCTGCCCTCGGGATCCCCATGACGGGGTGGGCATGTGTCAGGAGGCCGGGTGGACTGAGCCGGTGCTGGCATGGTGCTCCCCACCAGCTTCTTGCTGACATTTACTGTCGTGCCTCAGTTTCCGCCCTGTAAAACAGGGTTAATGCTAGCTTCCAGGATTACAGTTGGGATTAGGTGGGAAATTCACGACAGTGTCGGCCACAGAGCCTGGAGCCTCTGGAGCGCCCTAGGGGTGTGGAAGGTGCTAAAGGTGACTCTGGGACTGCGGGTGATACCGTGTCACCCTGTCTGCAGGAGCCACGAAAGCCGTGACGTGTGTGTGCAAGGGTCCCTGTTGGCGGCTCTCTTCCTCCCTGATGCCTGCTCTGGTTTGTCTGCACTGGAGCCTTGTGTTGAGGGGCTGTTCTCTAGCCGGCCTCCCGGGGAACTCCCCAAAAGAGGCTGGGCTCTCGAGCACCCTCCTGCAGGTGGGCGAGCTGCTGTTCCGTGGCACTCCAGTGCTCGTGGACCTCCCAGAGTGTGCTCCTGGAGCCTGCTGGCAGCTGTGGGAACATCCCTGGGTGCTCTCCCACATGCCCTGTGGCAGGCGTGTCCTGTATGCACAGGAGGAAGCTTCGGTGGGCACATGGGTTTGTGGGCTCCTGGGTTCCGCAAAGCTCCAGGAACTTCGTATGGGACTTCTCAGTGCCTTTCCTGCGCCGGCGTGTACGGTGGAAGAGGCATTCTCAGGAAGCTCTTTTCTGTTGACACGCCATGGGATTGGGGCTCCGAAGCCTGTCAGGAGGGGTCTGTGCCATGCTGCCTCTGTGGAGGGAGTCCCAGCGGGGCCTGGGAAGTGGGGAGGCCCATGGCCTGGAGACAGCAGAGTGACTGTGTGCCTCCTCCCCAGGCTGGAACGAGCTGCTCATCGCCTCCTTCTCCCACCGCTCCATCGCCGTGAAGGACGGGATCCTCCTGGCCACCGGGCTGCACGTCCACCGGAACAGCGCCCACAGCGCAGGGGTGGGCGCCATCTTTGACAGGTGGGGGTGGTCCCAGGAGGGGCGATGGCGCTTCGGTCACCTCCACCACCCGCCAGGCCAGCAGAGTCCGGCCACCTCAGCCCTGTGCACCATCTGCCTAGTATTATTCCAGGGCATGGAGGGTGCCCACGTGGAAAACAGAAAGCACGAGGAGGTGGCTGGGAGCCCTGCGCCAGCCCAGCCCTGGGCGTCTAGACCACAGGGCGCGCTTCGCCTGTTTCCCTCCAGCTCTTCTTTTCCACGATCCCGTGGGTTTATCCGTGGGAAGGAAGCTTGCTTTCTTACTGGAGCGATTAGATCGTAGATGCAGTTTTGTAGAACTGTCGATTGCGGTTGGCACATTGCAGGCTGTTTGGGGCTGGCACGGTCCTGCTGGGGCAGCCCGGAAGGGCATGGTGGGCTCCAGTGCCTATCCCCGTGCAGGCAGGGCTGTGGGGCCACCGCGCTTCACACCTCCCAGCGGAGCACTGGTCATACCTCACCCACTTCTCAGGGACACCCTGGAGGGGTGGCGTTGCCCGGAGGGCCCACCCTTGTCCCGGCCTGGTGGTCTGTGTCCATTCACGGTGCTCTCCTGGAGCGCTGGCCCATGACGGTCCTCTGGGCGAGGTGGACAGGAGCTTCCTTGTCCCTGTCTCTGCACAGTCTTTCTCCACGGCTCAGGGAGCCCACCCAGACTGGGCCTCCCGGGGACTGGATGTCAGCTCAGCCAGCTGGGGCAGGAACGCTGGCGAGGGGCGCTGCAGGCTCCCTTGGGCAGGGGTCTACAGCACAGGGGCAGTGAGAGGGGAGGAGCAGGCCGCCTGGAGAAGGTGGCCTCTGAGCATGAGAGCCCTGACGTTAGAGGTGGGCAGAGGCCAGGCTCCAGCACTCACAGGGGAATGCATGCACCAACAGCAGTGCCCCGTGGGGTAGTTCCGGTCCCCAAGTCCTGCGGGTGTGCAAAAGTGTTTGTGGCCGCAGACGGTGGGGAAATGCTAGTTTAAATTGTGTGCTAGAGGGGCTTGCTGCAGGACTTGTCAGGGCCTTTAGGAAAGCATACAGGAGAGTCCTCTCGGGGGCTGAAGGGTGCCACGTTTATTGCCCACAGGAGCTTCTTTAGAGGGGTACTGGGGATGCGGCTTAGGGAAGTGAAGCCCCAGCCACCGCCCAGCTGACAGCTCCTTTGTTTGGCTGGTGGAGCTGACAGAGGCCTGGGGCTTACATTCTCTGGGGCCCCAGAGCAGTGACAACAGATCCCTGCGTTTCCTTGCCTTTTGTGCAAGTGGAATGCAAAGTCTTTGCCCTCGGTGGCCCAGAGCTTTTCTGTGCCCGCTGCAGTGTATGCCCCTGCCTCAGAGCAGACATCGGGGTCTCTCCCAGCTCCTGTTCTGTCCCCTTCTATCCTCCAGGCTCCCTCAGATCTCCGAGGAACCAGCCAGGGCACTCCCCCTTCTATAGACCCTCACGGCCCCCCTTGGCCCACAGGGTAGCGCCCAGACTCCTTAGGCGGCCCTCTAGGCCCCACCTGGCCATCTCCCTCTCCCCGCTGTGGCCCACCCTCACTTCCTGGTCAGCAGTCCAGCTTTGGGGTTGGTGGGCAGGCTGCTGAGGCTAGGGGGCCCAGGACACTGCAGAGAGGCCAGCGGGATTCGGAGTCTAGCTGCAGGGGCAGGCAGCTGAGTCCCATCCGAGAATGTCCCCAGCGGCTCTGGGGAGGGGGCTGGTGGGTTTTTTCTTCTGGTCACAAGAAGTGGAAATGCTTCCCTCTGGCAGCCCCCACCCAGGGAGACCAGGTGCTGGGGAAAGCTCGCTCTCTAGAGTGAAGGGAGCGCTGGGGCTGGGCCGCCGGCCGAGGCTTTGCCCCAGGCGGTGCTGGGCCCGAAGCCGAGGAGGGACAGTGATGGGTCTCGCTGGGCTCAGGAGTGGACTCTGCCCCGAGTGCCTCCCCGGCTTACCTTGGCTTAGCTGTCACGAGGCCCCTCCTTAGCATCTAGGTTCCCAGAATAAAGCTCCACAGGCAGACCCTAGAGGGAGAGGAGAGAAGCCCACCCTCCGGGCAGGGCTGGGCAGGCCTGGCAGAGGTGGCACTTGGGCCTGGGTTCCTGCCCACTCCCGCTCCGGCCGCCTGGCAGGTCTTGCCTTGGCTCGGCCCGTCTCAGCCACCGTTGGCCACACTGGGCTCCCAGAGGCCTTGGGTGTCCGGGGCGGGGCCCTGGTGAGGCCCGCGGCCTAACGGGGACGGGGTGTCTGCCCTCCACCGCAGGGTGCTGACGGAGCTCGTGTCCAAGATGCGGGACATGCAGATGGACAAGACGGAGCTGGGCTGCCTGCGTGCCATCGTCCTCTTCAACCCCGGTACGGCCTTCCCGCCTCGCGGCTCCTGGCCCCGTCCTCTGGGGGGCGGGGGCACCCGGGCCTTCTCCCGTTTGTGCCTCATGCTGTGGCTGCACGTGGGGCCTCCCGCCCTCCCTGAGCCCAGTGGGCTCCCCTCCCAGCCAGTGTGGCCGCTCTTCTGGGGCTGCTCTGCCTTCTGCTCACGGGGGCCCAGCAAGGTGCTGGTCTTCAGGGGCTCGGTGGTGCCTCTGGGCTCTGCCTTGGCAGCGTCCACCATTGTGCGTGGGAATCCAGACTCCGCAGGGGCCGGCTGTGGCGTGACCTTCCCGCCGGTGCTCAAGTGCAGGAGCCCCGGCCCTGCAGGCTGGCGATGGGGATGGGTCAGGTCTGCTGGGTGTTCTGCAGAGGACCAGCCTCGTCCCCGAGCCTCGGGCCCAAGGTGTTGCCGGGGTTGAGGACAGCAGGGCTCGGGACTCGGGGCTGGGGGGCTGGCGTGGGCGCAGGCCTTCTGGCCGACAGTGCTGCCCTTCTCCAGACTCGGTTCTCTGCTCTAAAAGCCTCCTAGGTGTTACTCCTTCACCCAGCAAGTGTTAACACATGCCCGTGTGCCTGGCACCCTGCCATGCATGGGAGGGCTCCTTCAGGCTGCTGGGTAGGGCCCGCCCGCCCAGAGCTCCAGGTTCAGAGAGTCACGCCCACCAGCAGGCGCCACCGGCACATAATCCTGTCAGCACGGAGGCTGAGTCACGCCTGGCCCGAGGAGTCCCCACTCAGGTCCCGTGTGGCCTGGTTGCCAGGGCTGAGGCACCAGCAGGACCTAGGCCTGGGCTTGCAGGGAGGGCGAGGAGACGTGAGCATTGGCTGGCATGAGCAGGGTCTGGGCACAGGCTTGCAGGGAGGGTGAGGAGACTGGCTGGAGCTCAGGCAGCCGGGGGAGCCAGACACGTTGCCAAGGAGCCCCAGGCCCCAGGGCCACAGTGGCACTCACGGGGGTCCCTGGGCCTTGGAGGTGTTGGTGGCTGCAATCCCAGACTGTTCGCTCTAGGCTCTTGACCCCGGGGCCTGAGCTCGGCACTGTCCAGCATACTGAGGGTGGGTTTCCGGGGGCTCCGGGTGCTCCTGGGGTGGCACTGGGAGCTCCCATCCGAATTACGGGGCTGGGACCCAAGGGCAGCAGAGGCGTCCATTGTCCGTCCCTGTGGCAGCTGGAAGGCAGCAGGTTCCGGACACGAGTTTCTGGAGGGCGAATGATTGACCCAAGGTCGCATGGCTGGCAAGTGGCAGAGCCGGGCTTGGGCCCAGAGCAGCCTGGCCTGGCCTCAGGTTCCACAGTCGCCCCCCCCTGCCGATGGGCTCTGGGGTCATGTCCTGCGGCATCCTTCACACCACCTGCTCTGCCTATATCGGGGCAGCCTGGGAGACCCCACAGAGGCCTGGATCCCAGGGACAGGTGGCCGGGACACGCCCCAGCTGAGGGTTCTGACCTGCGGCCTCTCCTCCTTTCAGACTCCAAGGGGCTCTCGAACCCGGCCGAGGTGGAGGCGCTGAGGGAGAAGGTCTATGCGTCCCTGGAGGCCTACTGCAAGCAGAAGTACCCAGAGCAGCCGGGAAGGTGGGCCCCGCCCCCACAGACCCCAGACCCGGGCTCTTGTCTCCAGAGCCCCCACCCTCTGCAAGGCTGTTTTCTGTGAACGAGAAGGTGGCAGCCTCCCCGGGCCCAGCCCTGGGCAGTAGGTCCTGAGCAGGCTGTCCGGGTCAGTGGGCCGTGGCGGGTGTGACCCACAGGTTCACGCCCTATGTAGCCCCGCTGGAAGGATTACTTCGGACCTGGCGCATAGTAGGTCTTTCTCGAGTAGGTAGATGAAGGCTGTGCTTCACCCCCACCCACTCCCCTGCCAAGCAGAACCACCAGAGGCCAGGTGACACCAGCACACAGTAGGTACTTCACAAGCATGTGTAGCCTAGCTGGCCTGATGCCCACACATAATCAACGTTCTCTACGAGTGTGTAAAGAATAGGTGGCCACAGCCCCCTCGAGGAGCCCATTTGCCCCCCACGCAACAGAGGGCCCCAGAAGGGCTGGGAGCCTCTCATCTCCGAGTCCATGTTGCTGGGCGCGCGGTAGGTGTCCAGGAAGAGAAACTTGTGGATTCCTGGGATCCAGAGTCAGCTCTCCACATTCTGCCCCTTCTCTCTAAAGAGGCTTCTCCTGGCCTCTTGATCCTCAAACTGTGGGCAAGGGGTGGGGTGAGGGGGGGCCCCCAGACCCATAGGACACCCAGGCCCTGGCACCACCGGCACATACACGGTTAACTGTGTCCCCGCTGCCTGCTCGGCCCTCATCTGGCTTGGTTTAAAGGGAAACTTCCCGGAGGACGAGGACGAGGGGGTGGCAGGCGGCTTGTTTTTCCTGGCTTTCTGCCCTGGCCCATCTCGCCAGCTCAGCAGAAAACAGCTTGTTCTCTGGCCCCACTCCAGCCTCTGCGCTGTTTTTGCCTTTAAAACAAGAACTGTGAGGCAGCCAACCACAGAGCTTTTCCCTGAAATAAAGACTTCGTTAATAATTAATGAGGTTCTGCGGCCCCTGGTGGGGCTGTGTGGGGAGACCCTGGCGGTGCACAGGGGCCCTGGGGCAGACGTGGGCAGCCGGGAGGGACACCTGGCCCCGTCACCACAGCACCCTGTCCTCTGTGGCAGCTGCTGCCCTCGTGCCTGGCCCTCTGCACCTCTTCCCAGAGCCCCAGCCTTCTCCCCTGCCTCCGCATTGCTCCCTGCCCCAGGAAACTTCCCAGGGGTGGGCCGGGCCCTAGCGACCCCTGGTCCCTCCCTCCCTGCCAGCCTTCTCTGACCATGCTGTGCCCAACGCTGGCAGAGCTACTTCTGCTGAAGCCGTGGCCCTTGCTCGGTCTGGGGCCCACAGCACTGCGTGAGGTGTGGTGGAGGCCCTCATGGGGTGCTGACGCTTTCTGGGAAGGGGCTTGCCTGGCACGCGGCTCCCAGGTCAGGCCTGGCTCCCCCTGCAGTGGGGGCGCAGCCTGAATACCACCCCCCATGCCCTTTGCCTTCGTGGTTGCCCATCCAGTGCCTTGCCCATTCCTGCCACTCACCAGTGTGCGCAGCACCCCGTTCCCTCAAGGGCCCCGCTGTCTCTGGCTGGGACGGCTGCAGCAGCGGGAGGTGTCGCTGGCATGTTCACTCCTGCAGCTCTCCCCTGCTGCAAATCCCGCTGACGGTCCCCGTGGCCCACAGTTTTTCGTTTTTTAGGGCACAGTCTTGCTCTGTCGCCCAGGCTGGAGGGCAGCGGTGTGGTGGTTGCTCACTGCAGCCTCCACCGGGGCTCTCAAGCCGGCCTCCCTGCAGGCGCGCACCACCACACCCAGCTACTTTTTTTCTCTTTTTGTTGTGTACAGACATGGTCTCACTGTGTCGTCCAGGCTGGCCTTGAACTCCTGGGCTCAAGCTGTCCTCCCACCTTGGCCTCTCAAAGTACTGAGATGACAAGTGCCAGCTCCCCAGCCACCCACAGTGTTTAACTCCTTTACTGAAGCTCACCCACCGCTGTCTGGCCCCGCCCCTCCCCTCCTTCCTTCTGGGGGCTTGGCACAGGCAGGCCCTGGGCTACAGACCAGCTTCAGGGGGGTTGGGCTGTCAGACACAGCCCCATCCCCAGGGAGGCCTCCAGGTGCCACGCAGGACTGCCCGCGCCCCTCGCCCGGCCCTCACTGGACCCCTTCCCTGCAGGTTCGCCAAGCTCCTGCTCCGCCTGCCGGCTCTGCGCTCCATTGGGCTCAAGTGCCTGGAACATCTCTTCTTCTTCAAGCTCATCGGAGACACGCCCATTGACACCTTCCTCATGGAGATGCTGGAGGCCCCACACCAAATGACTTAGGCCCTCGGGCCCACCCTTCGCGCCCACCCGGTCCGGCCACCCCGCCTGGACGCCGCCGCTCTTCTCAGCCTGAGCCCTGTCCCTGCCCTTCTCTGCCTGGCCTGTTTGGACTTTGGGGCGCAGCCTGTCACTGCTCTGCCTAAGAGATGTGTTGTCACCTCCTCCTTTCTGTTACTACTTGTCTGTGGCCCAGGGCAGTGGCTTTCCTGAGGTGGCAGCCTGAGTGGCAAGAACTAGTGAGCCCGGCCAGGCGCCTCCCCATGGGCTCTCGGGACGCCCTGCCACACCCCATGGGGCTTGGGTGGCTCACAGGGGTCTCCCGGCTCTGGGCCCTGGAGCTGCAGGAGTTGGGAACAGGGCCTCGGTTCCATTGCTGTTGATGGATGCTGGTTTTCAGAATTCCCGTGTGGCCATCCTGTCTGGAGTGACGTCTTCGCCTGCTCTGAGTACCGGTGCCCCGCCTGCCCATGACAGCTCCCCCTAATCAGGAGGAGGGGACAGCTAGGGGCACAGGCTGGCGTGTGATCAGCCAAGACCTCAGCTGCCTCGGGGATGAGAGGGCCCAGCAGGCTGCCCTGTGCTGTGAGTGAAGGGAGAGTAGCGTCTTTTTCCAAAGATAACTCGAGGTGTTGCCCTCCGGCCAACGAGAATATGAGCCGACCTCTGTGCTGGGTTTCGGGGCCACCTCCAGGCTGCAGGGACGGGTGTCGCCCACCCCCTCGGTTTTCTCTCTGCCTTGGTGTCCTGGCTTCAGACTCCCCCTTCCAGTGGAGACCGGAGTGCCTCGGTCCCTCCCCAGCCTGGGTCTTCTCCTGGCCCTGCCGGCTGGGCTGAGGCCTGTCCTTGGTTCCTGCAGGGTGGGGCGTCACCATGTCCCTGGCCTTGCTGGAAGCACAGGGCTGTGCTGACCTGCAACCATCTGTGAGGCCCGCGTGGGTGGGAGGGGAGGGGGCAGGTGGCCTGGAGAGGGGGGCTCAGGAACTGGGACCTCGTGGCCTGGCGCGGCTCTGCAGGGGCATCGGTGGGACCCTCACTCAGGCCTTCTCTCCGCTACCAGTGTGTCTAAAAGACTTGGAACCTGAGAACCCTGAGTCGCAGTGCCCTTGGTCCCGGGCCATACGCAGGCCCTGGTGGGACCACCCAGCCCGGTGGTATCCAGAGACAGCGTGCTCACCCAGAGCCTTACTTGGGAGCCTCACTGAACGCCCGCTCTGGTTGACGGTGCGGGGCTGAGGGCCTCCCCGGCTCAGCCCCGTGTGGCCCGGCGCGCCTCCCGCAGGCTGTCCCCCGTCCAGTGGTGCAGGGCTCTCTCAGGTTGAACTCGCCTCGTTTGCACTGGAAGGCCCTTCCTTTGGCCTGAGAACTTTTCCTGTTCACGCCTCAGTCCCGTGGACCCAGCCTTTGTCAGTAGCAGGTGCCTGAACAGCAGCCGGGTGGGGGATGCAGGAGGGGCCTCGTCTTCCCAGCAGCGGTCTAGCAATGGAGCGGGGAGTAGGCGTCTTCTCCAAAGGCTTTCCCCACCTGGAGCAGGGGAGTGTGGGCTGCCCCAGCAGGGGCTCCTCGGTGGGGAGGGGAGCTGCCTGGGGGGTTGGGCTGGGAGGCAGCGGCTCAGAGGGGCAGCGTTCCAGCCTTTGTGGGGAAGAAAGTGTCCATTCTTTGCCTTCCTGGAGCTTCTAGCCAGAGCTGAGCTGAGGGACTGGGTGGAGGCTGCAGCTGAGTCTGCTCGAGACAGAGACTGGCGGAGGTTCCAGAAGCCTCTCATTCCCGCTCCCCTCCACCCCTGCCTTTTAGCAGTGTGGATCCCCAGAGGTGTCCTCTGTCCAGCCACCATCCTGAGGCAGAGTGGTGAGCCTCACACCTGTAACAGGCCCCTGGTTCCTCCCAGGCACTGCCGGGTGCTCTGGGGCCCAGTGGTGGGAGCGTGAGAGACCCCACACCAACACCCGGTGCCTTCTGCGGCCAGTGCCCGTCCGTGTGCGCCCAGACACTCGGGAATGCCCGCAGCTCCAGAGGAAGAAGCCCAGGGCCGGGGCCTCGTTTTCGGGGGCTCGGCTTCTTCTTGGCAGCCCTGCCATTTCCAGCTCTGGCTGGCTGGCTGTAAAGCTCTGAGCGCCCCCCCCCCCCCGCCCCGCCGGACTGCCAACCTCTGAAAGCAGAACCCTGGCTTCCCCAGCCCCTGCAGCCTTCCCCACCAGCCTTCCTGCCCCTCCTCATCGGCTTTGGGGTTGTACAGCCTGTGCTGTCGGTTCGAAAAGGTGACGCGTGAGGAGTGTGGCTCATTACTCAGTGGAGAGGCAGAGTTTCTATTTTACCAGACCTGCAGTAGTATTACCAATCTGGTTCAGTTAAGGTGATTTTTTTGTAATTATTACTTTGGTGGGACAATCTTTAATTTTCTAAAGATAGCACTAACATCAGCTCATCAGCCACCTGTGCCTGTCCCTGGCTCGGCCCGGCTGGATGAATCGGCTTCCCCGCAGGCCCCCCTTTGCAGTGGCTGCTTCCTGGGCCACCAGGGCACCCTGACGCCTTCAGGCGAGTTCCTCAGCTGGTCACCTCCTTGCTTTGCCTTCTGATGGGGCTCCTGAGGCTGAGGAGTGAAGATGCCGCAGGGCTGGGCCACCCTAGGCTTTGTCAGGTGTGTTTTGGAAGCTGGCCTGCTGGGACCCTCCACCCTAGGGCCTGTGTCAGCTACCGGCCCTCTGCACCCTGGAAGCACACGGGCTCTGGGAAAGACAGCCCTGATCTTCGGTGTTCCAAGTCACGGTGTTCCCCAAGAATTCTGGGCTGGTGGCTTGATGGCCGTGCTGGAGAAGACCCTGAGCCTTTCCCCGTGGGTCACCCAGGAGGGCCTGGCCAGCATGTGCAGCCTGTGGGTGGCCGGCTGACGTCCCCGCCGTGGTCAGGGTGCGTGACCTGGTGCCCATCCACGCAGGTGTGTGGCGTAAACATGGATGTGCTGTACAGACGTGTGTGGAGAGAGCCGCACACCAGGGCCGCAGAGAGGCGGAGCAGTTACCAATGTTTCGTGTTTATTTTTAATCAAGACGTTTCCCGTTTTCCTATAAATTTGCTTAGTGTAAGCAAGTACATAAGGACCCTCCTTTGGTGAAATCCGGGTTCGAATGAATATCTCAAGGCAGGAGATGCATCTATTTTAAGATGCTTTGGAGCAGACAGCTTTAGCCGTCCCCAATCCTTAGCAATGCCTTAGCTGGGACGCATAGCTAATACTTTAGAGAGGCTGACGGATACATAAGAAAGTAACGATAAGAGAAAATGTCTAAAGCATCTGGAAAGGTAAAAAAAAAAAAATCTATTTTTGTACAAATGTAATTTTATCCCTCATGTATACTTGGATATGGCGGGGGGAGGGCTGGGACTGTTTTGTTTCTGCTTCTAGAGATTGATGTGAAAGCTTCCTCCGAGAGACGCCAGGGCAGGCGATGGCAGAGGAGAGGGCCCCTGTGACAGCGGCCAGGCTTGGGAGGAAACCGCCGCCGGGGACATCTTCCTTGGGGACAGGAGGGTGGGCCTGAGGCTTTCAAGGGTTTTCTTCCCCTTTTGAGTGATTTTTAAAGCCTTGCTCTGTTGTGTCCTGTGGCCGGCCTTCCTGTGACTGTGACTGAAACGGCTTCCCCATACGATCGTCTGAAACGTGGCGGCCGCAGGTGCCGGGGTCTGATGGACAGTGGCATAGAATTGTGGAAAAAAAAAAAACACGCAAAGGGAGACATGTGAGAGAAGAAACAAAATATGAGTGTTTAAAATACATCGCCATTCAGTTCTTGTTCGTTCTGCCTGAGGACTTTTCTGTTTGGAGTGGGAGGGCCTGCGGTCAACCCCCACCAGCCCGCCCTCCTCCCCACCAGGTCCCGTGGGCCACGCTCTGAGAGTTCTGTCCCTGTTCGCTGGGCTCTGCTGCTCCTCCCAGGGGCCGGGAACTGGGGCCTCTGTGAGCGCGCCTGTCAGCAGCCACGAGCACCGGGCCTGTGGGCGCCTGCACAGCCTGAGTATTCCCACCTGTCCGCCCCGGGCTGCCAGGGACCCACACTTCTGCAGCTATGCTGGCCCAGGTCAGCAGGAGGTGCACCCGGAGGGCGAGGGAACACATGATGTCACCCAACGGCCTCAGTAATAACAGGTTAATGCCACCCCATCTGCACGTCTCCTGTGATAAGTGCCCTCGGTCTCCATGCTGTCTGGGGCTGGTCCTGAGCCCTCTCATGCACCTGTGTCCAGCCGGGCACCCTCCCCGGGAGGCACCAGACACACTGAAGATGGGGAGTGGGGCCTTGAGGGTCCAGGTCCTGCCCTGTGGTATTGGGCAGAGGGCAGTGTGGCCTGTGTCCAGAGCAGGGATGACTCCCGGGTGAGACTCAAGATGGAACGGCCTGCTGCCTGAAGGACACACACGCATTCACACACTTGCATACTCACACAGGCAGACATGCTCACGTGCACCCTCAAACCCATTCATACCCATGGACACATACATTCACACGCTATGACACGCTTTGGCATGCACGACCATGCTCAACCCGCATGCATATCCATACACACTCCCCTGCACACACCCATACACATATGCACACATCCTTGCACACACACCCATACATGCTCATGTGCACTCACCCTTGCACACCCATACATGCTCATGTGCACACACACTCGCACACACCCATACACGCTCATTTGTACACCCTCGCACACACACCCATACACTCCTGTACACACCCTTGCACACACACCCATACACGCTCATGCGCACACACACCCTTGCACACACCCATACACGCTCATGTGCACACATACACCCTTGTACACACACCCATACACAGTCCCGTGCACACACTGACTCATACGAACATCACACTTGTGCTCAGCCCTGGAGGGGTCTGCAGAGCATCGGGGGTTGGGGGGGCAGGGCTGAGTCAGCCTCCCTTGCTGGAGTCAAGACGCCACACCCACGTTCCCCCTCTTCCTGGGAGCAGCAGCTGTGCCCTGAAACTCAGCCCCTCCCTAAGCCCCAGCTGTGAATGGTTGGTGCCATGGGAGGCTGGACTCACTTTGCCACCTTAGGAGCGGCTGCAGGTCCCAGCTGCAGGTCCAGAGGAGCCTCCCCAGGTGTTGCATGCCCTCCACTGCCAGGGCCTTGGCTCTGCCCACCAAGACCAGCCTGGGCTTCTCCAGAGGGCCCCAAATGAGAATGGACCCTGAGGGAGGGCAGAGTCCTGGAAGTACCCACCCGCTTCCTCTGTGCCCCGCAGCCCTCTGCTGATCTGGCCTGGGGGGCCTGGCCCGCCCAGGCTCCCTGTAGATAATCTTGCACACATAAAGCACGCGGGACCCTTCTGTGGTCTGGAAAGGGTGTTGGCCCTGGGGTCTTGGGAACTGGGATGTGGGCTCTGTGTTGCAGGGCCTCCCGCCCTGCTGTGGGCGTGGCCACATGGCTGAGCGCTGCTGTGTGAGACAGCAACACAGGTTGGAAGCTGGCTCTGTGCCCTGGTGGCCCCCTGGATGCTGGGCACAGTCTCTGGACACCTGTCTTCAGGGTGAGGGAGCCCTCAGAGTTCTTAGACCAGGGTGCAGGGACAAAAGGGGAAAGTTCAGGTGTGTGGGTGCAGGAGACAGACCCCTTGAGGCTCCAGGAGAACCCCAGGAAGGGGAAGCTTCCTCATGGGTTCTCAGGGCCTTGGTGCTGGTTTTAATGGGGCAGGGAACTACATGGGACTTCCTGGGGTGAGCGTGGTGGGGGAGTTTGGTGTCCCTCCAGGGACATGAATGCCACCCTGTGCTCCCACCAGCCAGGCAGAAGCTCCAGGCTGCCGGCCGGCATAGCATCGCAGGACACCCCAGCCTTGGGCCTCCCTGCGGCATCTGGTTGCCATGGTGACTCCTGGCCAGGGAAGTCCCTCGGGACCAGAGATGCTGGACCAGATAAGTTCATCACCAGCACACTCAGGCGGTGACAGCCAGTGTGGGCCGGGGGCTGTGAACTGAGAGGCACGTGAGGGCGGGGCTCAGGCACCTGTGGTGGGGGCAGGGACACATGGCTCTTGGATGGTGTGACTGAGCTCCCCGTGCTGATGTCTCTGCCATCGGCCAGCAGACAGCGTGATGGGAGGAAGGGCATGCATGGGAAATGGGGCGCATCCTGGGAGAACAGAGCAGCCCCTCACAGAGACCCCGGTACAGGCAGTGCACACTCAGGGTGGAGGAGGGGGCCATTGCTGTGCCCGAGGACATCCGCACCTGGGTGGCTAGAGGAGGTCAGGGAAGCCTTGGGGGCCTCAGGAGGGAGGGGCTGGGGCGTGGAGACCTCAGGAAGGGCCAGGTAGTGCCTGCGTCCCAGGCCCCGGATTCTCCGAGGGGCACATCTGCCCCCACAGCAGGGACTCAGACAGCATCGGGGCAGGCTGGCCATCGAATGTGGCTTTTCCCACCTGCCCTTCTGCCCTCTGCACAGATGCCCCCAGGGAACCCGCAGCCCCCAGAGCCGCGTCCTCGCCCTCGAAGAGACCCTGGGAGGAAGGAGTCTGCCCAAAGGGAGCCCGAGGCAGGACCAGGTCCCATCCCACCCCCTCGGTTATAACCCAAGGCCGTCAGGGTGTGCTGGCCCCCAAGGACAGATGCACCGTGCTCGCGGCCGCGCCCGTGGCGTGAGGCAGCCCTGCCCCCTGCTGGTGATGCTGGGACAGCACGGTGCCCCTGTCCCTTCTGGCTCCTCCAGGCCCTTGGGGGCCACAGTGGCTTCAGCAGGGCAGCGGGGCTGATTCCTGGGTTAGAATCACCCGGGCACTCCCCTGCCGAGCCACACCCCTGCTCCCTGCAACAGGCAGTCTAGGCAGGAGCCGGCTTCATCCGAGTTTCACCCAGATGCCTGGCGGTCAGCTGTGTGGGAAGCTGGGCACACAGCGCTATACTGGGTGGCAGGTGGGCTTGGCCTGCAGCAGGGGCGGGCGGGGAAGGTGAGAGCGGAGTGGCGGGGAGGGAGGGGGTGGGTCCTGCCCTCTCTGAGTCTCAGTTCTCCATCTCCACAATGAGGACACACTCCCCACTTTCCAGGGCTGTTGTGACCAGGGCCTTGGCCACCCAGAAAATGCTTTACAGCGGCCGCTGCCTCCCTTCTTTTGGTGTGAAGAGGCTGTAATGCAGGGCATGGGGGAGGGGCCGGGAAGACTCAGTCCTTTGCTCCCGGGACACAGGGTGGGCAGCAGGAACCCTTGGAGACTTGACCTGGGATCCACCTCTGGGCAAGGCCAGGACTGTGGGCCTGGGTTCCAGGGCCTGGAGGCCAGGAGGTGGCATCATGGCTCTTGCCCACTATGGGGTATGGGGGAGGTCAGGTACCACGGTTGCCTTCCAAGGTGAGCAGTGGAGCCCTTGAGACCCCTGTGTGGGTCAGTGGGGCTGTTGGGGAAGCACCGAGAGGGGACTCAGCGGTCTCCCTTCCTTCCCCCTCCCTCCTTCCCTCTTTCTTCCTTCCTCCTTCCCTCCTTTCTCCCTCCATCTTCACTCTTCCCTCCCTCCTTCCTTCCTTCTCCCTCTCTCCCTCCCTCCTTCCCCCTCCCTCCCTCCCTCCTTCCCCTCCCTTCCTCCCTCCTTCCCCCTCCCTCCCTCCTTCCTTCCCCCTCCCTCCCTCCTTCCTTCCCCCTCCCTCCCTCCTTCCCCTTCTCTCCCTCCCTCCTTCCCCCTCCCTCCCTCCCTCCTTCCCCCTCCCTCCCTCCCTCCTTCCCCCTCCCTCCCTCCTTCCCCCTCTCTCCCTCCCTCCTTCCCCCTCCCTCCCTCCCTCCTTCCCCCTCCCTCCCTCCCTCCTTCCCCCTCCCTCCCTCCTTCCCCCTCCCTCCCTCCCTCCTTTCCCCTCCCTCCCTCCTTCCTTCCCCCTCCCTCCCTCCTTCCTTCCCCCTCCCTCCCTCCTTCCTTCCCCCTCCCTCTTTCCTTCCTCCTCCCTCTCCCCTTCCCCCTCCCTTCCTTCTTCCTTCCCCCTCCCTCCCTCCTTCCTTCCCCACCTCTTTCCTTCCCCCTCCCTCTCCCCTTCCCCCTCCCTTCCTCTTTCCTTCCCCGTCCCTCCCTCCTTCTCTCCTCCCTCCCTCCTTCCTTCCCCATCCCTCCCTCCTTCTCCCCTCCCTCCCTCTCCCCTTCCCCCTCCCTCCCTCCCTCCCTCTTTCCCCTCCCTCTCCCTCTCCCCTTCCCCGCTCCCTCCCTCCTTGTGCCTCTCCCTCTGGCCCAGGCCTGTCCTGAGGACTCTCATCTACTCCACCGGGGCAGGAAGGCACTGAAACACCAGGCCCCTGGGGCTGGACCCCCGAGGATCCAGATGCCTCCCCGCTGCCCTCCGGGGGCAACACTGATGCAGCAGAGCCTGTTTCGGCGACAGAGAGACAGGTCCCAGGGCCCTTGAAGAACAGGGAGTCCATCCTTGGGGGAAGCTGGCCAGACAGGGCCTTCATCCTCCCCCGTCTGTGCAACAGCAGCTGCCAAAACCTGGCCCAGCCCATCTGGGGGGCAGCAGAACCCCACCTCCTGCAGTGTGAAGGTTAGAAAACCAGGCCTGAGGTCCATGCCCCTTGGAGGACCATGGGCAAAAGCACTTCCTCCCCAGCCTCAGTGTCCCCCGCGGCCCGGGTGAGAATTGCGGTGAGCGTTGCGTTGTGAAGCCCAGGAAGGTCATGCCAGGGTTGAGCTCTCACTGAAGAGTGGAGAGCAGTGATCTCACTGGGCAGCTGAGCCCGTTGCTCGGGTACAGAGTGTGGCTGGAGAGCAGGTGGCATTCAGGGCCAGCACT